TAGGAAAATTATCCAGGTCACTCTCTTGGTTTGTTATTTGTATAACCTGTTTAATTATTAAAACATCAGCCAGTTTCTTTTGTATATCCAGTGTAACATTTTTCTCCATATCATTCTTGTAGCCCAGTGATGGCAAACCTATGACACGCGTGTCAAAGGTGACATGCCAGCATTCACCACACCCGACAACTATTCTCCCTGTTTGAGTTACCAAACAAACAGAGTTTTTTTTATTCATATTTCATATTTTTTTGTAATTATCTGATGTTTCTTTATATAATACAAAGCACCACCCATGATTGGACTGTATTTTTTTAAAATAAATGAATATATAAAGAATTGTTTCTCTTTTGTTCAGGGGCCCCCTCCCTGGGTGACACGCCAGCAGAGTCAAGTTAGGTAATTCCTGAATTTTTGACATGCTGAGCCCAAAATGTTCGCCATCACTGTTGTAGCCTGTCATTTTTAAATCCACTTTCAAATCAGTCTTGATCTTATCAGGTAGAACTTGTTCCTCTTCCATAACATCTTTTAAACATAGTCCATCTATAGAGGCAGATGTCTCTGTTGACACTATTAACTTCTGGGTCCATTGTTCAAAAATATCCTTCAATAAGTCCAATGTTATAATATTTTGCTTCATCCTGTAATTGTAAGTTGAATTTGAGTGTTCTTCTCCTTTAATTATAATCTTTAGTTCCCTCTAGTTCCTTCTAGTGTCCAATTTTTAAAGTCTCATCTTATTGTGTTTTTTAAAGGAATTCAAAACAAAAGCGTTTTCCCAGACTTGCTGCTCTTTATTCCACTGCAGTCATCAGCTCCGCTTTTTGCAAAGCCGTCTTTAGTCTGCCATTTCTTTCCCGGAAGCCCAACTGTCCACCATCCTGAAGCTGTGAGGACATTAGTGATGGACTGAAAAAGGAGCACGGGTATTAGTAAATTAATGCTGGGAGTAGTGTCCTTCAGCCTGGCACCTTCTGGATGTGTTGGACTATAGTTACCCTCATTCTAAGCAAGTAATGTTTCACAGCTCTCACTTCTGGGCAGGGCTGTTGTATTTTTAAAGTGCTATAAATTGGAACAAAAACTGGTTTTCCCCACCATGTGGCTGAGAAAATGTCCTGCTTGTTGCGTGTGATGGGTCCTCCTCTCTGTGCTGAGAAAGGGGGGCAGGATATATGCAACTGGAAGAAAAGAGGCAGATGGCAACTTTCTTTATTTTTTTAAACACATGCTTACGATAAATTTTTGATGTGCCAATTATGCGGCTGGAGGCTGCTGCTTGGCATTCCTTGGACAGCCAAGAGAACCAGCCATTCAAGCCAGAAATGCTCTCTGGAAGCAAGCAGCACGAAACAAAAACTGTTGTGTTTTGAACACATCATGAGGGCTGATGCATCTATGGAAAAGATGATCATGCTGGACAAGGTGGACAGAAGGAGAAGAAGAGGTTGAGACGGAGTCCTGGAAGCCCCAGAAATGCACCTGCAAGAACTTTTATCCACTGTGTCACCAGGAGGTGGCTATGACTTGACAAAGCATAACACCAACAATATAATAACTGGGTTAAGTCTTACTATACATTTATATGGGAGAGCTGAAATGACTCAAAAATTCTCTAGAAGGGAAGAAGCAAGAGAGCTCCCAATTTAGGTAAACACCCTGAGATCTGCAGTTCGACCTTGGCCTCAAGATGGAAGTTGCATTAGTTGGAAGTAGATGCTGCAGGAAAGTGGTTATATCTGACTTTGAACGGCTGGCTTAGCACAACATACTGAAGCACAATCCAGCCAACAACATTTTAGAAAATATAATTCTATCCTTTTTATCCATGAAAGCTTACATTATTTGGTCCAGATAATATTAATGCTTCTCCAGTTCCATAGTGGTCAGAGATCTTGGAGGAATTAACTTAGGCTTATAAATCAGTAACCCTTTATATAGATAGTTAAAGATGCTGATTAAATTAATATGAGTTATTTATGTCACTTCTGGAATAATAAGCTTGAATGCTCTGGTCCTCTGGAGGATCACATTAAATAACATGAAATTAGTTTTCTGTTATCTTAAAAGGAGGTGATTGCACGTACAACAAAAATATCTTCCTCTGTACTAGAAACCATTGAAAATGTTCGACGGTGGGAATAATCACTTTGCTGCTGAAGGAATTGCTGAACGCAGGAATTGGAACAATAATTCATATTGCTTGCCTTTCTCCAGTAACGGCCACATTTGAGGCTGACATCAGCTGAGTCCACTGCTGTGTCTTACCTGTTCTTCTCTGCCATACCTTCAGTAGTTGGAATCTATGAAAATATTAAGATCAGTGGACAGTTCAGGCATGGGGGCTGGCTAAAAGAATTGTTATAAAACAAACCTATGCTTGATTCCCAGGAATGGGTTGTTGAATGGGTTGTTTATCAATGTTTATTGCTGTGTTTTACAAAGGGGCAAGGAAAAAGATGGACACATTGGGGGGAGTTGTCCTGATTATAGTGTATTTTTCTATGCTTTTCCCCACTCTTTTTCTTCTTTCTATTGTTAGGATTATTAATTTTGAAATGATATTATTTTGCAGATATTGTTCTACCTAGTTAGGGTTTTCTTCTGTTATTTTGTTTTAACATGAAAAGACCACTGCATTTTAGACTGGTGTATTCTACACACCCAGTTTAAGGTTCAAGTGATGTACAGGCCTAGAAAATCGGATTACATAAAACTGCTGAACTCATACACATCTAAAGGTTTCAGGCCATCTCAGAAGGTCTCAACAAACACAGTGGATTGTTAATACCTTACAGTTGTTAATTGATAAGGTGTTTGTAGACTGCTTTACTTGCAACCTGCATCTGTATAACCAACCATTCTCCCTCGCTCTTTCCAGTTTCAATCCTACATTATTTTAACAACTCCATTGTATCCGATGAAGAGAGTAGCCCTTACGCCTTTTAATAAAATGTGTTAGTCTGAAAAGTACCACCAGACTCCTTCTGATTTAGGAATAAGCCAGATTCTGCTAATTATAGGTAAGTGTGCCCGGTTAACACTGCCCAACAGAAAGGATAATAGCCAGCCTTCTTCCCTCTGGGGTCTCATCATGCAAAGCCTGCTAGTCTGAGCAACACTTTGACATGATGGGCCATGGTTTGCTTAATGAGGCACAGAAAGCTAACGGTCCAAATAATTAGGAGTGTTTCAGAGTGTCCTTCAGAAGTTACTATTTTCATCTGCTTGAAAAGCAGAGAGAATTCATAGACACTTCATTTTAAATCAAAGGCTTTGAGTTTAAATAACACTGATTTTAGCTCAAGGGACTATCCCAATGCTCTGCAGATGCCTTGGAACTGGGACTCCCAGAAATACCAGTCAGCATGGCATCCAAATTCTTGGAATGATTGTCCCAACACATCTGGCGACCAAAGGGTGACTCGCAGCAAAGGCGTATTGTGCGGACTCCAGCGCCCTCCGGTGGGTTCCTGGCGACACCGCCTTCCTTTTGCTTTGGCAGCGGAACCAGGTGCCAGCTGCTTCTCCCGGAGGTGGGCTGCAGCTGACAGGCAAAAGGTAGGTGCAAATCGGTGGTGAGTTTCCAGGTGGATTGGCTCGGGCTGCTGTGCCGATCTGAATCATGATTTGATACTTCAAACCGAACTGACGAGGTGGGCAGGCTTTTGCATACTCTCAGTAGCCCTTCCAAATGATCAAGTTCAGTTCAGGAAGTCATTTGGTTCAGGGATTCGATTATATCCCCTTTATAATGAATCTCCAAATAAAACATTCAGACAACCCTACAAAATATACTTTATATGTATTATCTTGTACAGTATTTTTTTCCTTCCTTCCTTCCTTCCTTCCTTCCTTCCTCTCATACCTAGCCACCTACCTCCCACTTACATGGTTTCCTAAGAAATCCACAGTGCCTGGCTCACACTGTGGCCTGGCTCCTGAACCCCCTCGTGGGCCCCCAGGAGATGCCCTCCCTGGCCGCTTCGTCTTGGGCTCCTGGGCTGCCTGGCACGTCCGCCCAGCTCAGCTGAGGGGTGTCTGCACTGTGCTTCGTGAGATGCGTCTTGGTCAGCCCAGGACACTCCCGGGGGGGGGAGGTCAAAAGAGGCAAGGCGACCGGGGCAGCGCCGCAGTGCGAGCCCCGTTCACCTCCTCGCGCACGCGGGCCACGAAGGGAGAGGGCTTCCACCGACCGCGACGCCACGGCCACCCCGTGGCCCTTTGGCCTCCCTCTCCCGCCGCCCGGGAGCCCCACGGGGAGGGGGCCCGAGCGGCCGCCGCCTCCTGCCCGCGCCCCTCCGGAGGAAGGCCCACGCGAAGGCCGCGGGGCTGTTTTGCCCCCTCGGGCGCCCTTCCACGGGCTGCTCCTCGCAACGAGGCAAAAGCGGTTCCCGAGCTGCCGGCTTCCCCCCGGCTTC